CGAAAATATAATTTTCCGATGGGAAATCCACGAGTTTTGCTTATTTGGGGCTCTATTGGGGTGCCTCTTGGGGCGTCTTCGGGGCCTCTTTTGATGTTTTTGCGGGTCTCATGGGGGCCTCTTGGGGCTTCTTGGGCACTTCTTGGAGCCTCTTGGGGTCTCCTGGGGGCCTCTTGGGCCAAATGGCTCGCATCGTCGGTTCCTCGTCTCTGTCTTGGGCGCCGCCTTGAGGAGTTCTTGGGCGGGTTGGGCACCTCGTGGGCCGCCTTGGCCCCCTCGTGGGCCGTCTTGGGGCCCTCTTTCGGGTGCCTCTTGGGCCGTCTTGGACGCAGTGGAAGCCCAAAAGGCGAAGACGCCAAAAACATCAGTTTTCCTATAGGAACTCAACGAGTTTTGCTTATTGGAGGCTCTCTCGGGGTGCCTCTTGGGGCGTCTTCGGGGCCTCCTGGGGCCTTCTTGGCGTCATGGGAGTCGTCTTGAAAGGCATCTGGAGCCATCGGAGCGCGTTTTCGAGCGTTCCGAAGCCATCTTCGGGCGACCTTGGACGGCCCCCGGCGCTCCGGCAGGGCTCCCGGCGCGCCGGGCCCCACATTCGCGGTCGGGGCCCCGGCACCCCGGCCCCAGGACCTGGTCCCCCGTTATATGTATACTCCAGATTGAAACTTCAACCGCAAACAGTCACAACAACAACAACAACAACAACAACAACAACAACAACAACAACAACAACAACAACCAGAACCAGAACCAGAACCATAACAACAACAACAACAACAACAACAACAACAACAACAACAACAACAACAACAACAACAACAGCAACAACAACAATAGACATATTATCATCTTAAGACTGTTTGTTCTTATTCGATCGCGTGCCACGCAACGCGTATACCCCAAACCTTCGATACTCGCCCTCTTTGTCTTCGACCATACCTCCTCGGGAGTATACCTTCCTTACCTGCCACGCACATTTAGCGCAGCCCCTAAAACAGGGGAAGGAGGGACGGGTGGGGGAAGAGAAGGAGGGACCACGAGAAAAGGCCTCTCGGAGCAAATCGCGAGGAAGCATCGAGCGGCAGCAGCAGCAGCAGCAGATGCAGCCGGCGCCTCGGCGGAAGTGCCAAAGAGCCTTAAGGGCGTCCAACCATGAACATTGTTTAGTACTTCAGGTTCAACAACAACAATAACAACAACAACAACAATACCAGCAGCAGCAACAATAACAACAACTGAAATAACAACCACAACAACAGCAACAATCACAAAGTAAACAACAACCACCACCAAGACCACAACAACAATAACCACAACAATCATTGTATGACGGTTCGCTCGTATCTGCTCGCGTACCACTCAAAACATATATCCTGAGCCCTCGGCACCCGCCCTCTTCAGTCTTCCATTGTACCCACTTGGGGGTAGATATCTTTCTTACCTGCAACGAGTATTTCGTGCAGCCCCTAAGGCAGGAGAAGAGAGGACGGATGGAAGGAAGGGACAATGGGGAGGGAGGAGGAGGGAGCACGAGAGAGGGGGCTAGGAGCAGAAAACACGTGGCAGAACCAGACGGGCAGATCGGGCGGGTAGACCCTGACGGACAGGTCGCGAAGGCGGGCACAAGCGGCCAGGTCGAGCAGGCGGGTTGCTGAAGCATGCGTCCTGCATGAATCGCAATGAAGTCTCGAGCGATAGCGCGATTCCAGCATAAACTGTCAATAATTCCACAGCGAGAGCGTGATTTCTGAGTGTCGAGGGCGCGGCGTTTGAATTAATTGCGAGGGAGTCCCATGCGAGAGCGCGATTCCTGCAAAAATTGTGGGGAAGTCCTGCGCGAGAGCGTGATTTTGGAATAAATTGTGAGGAAATATCAGGCGAGAGCAGTCGTTGTTAGAGTTTGGGGCCCGACTACACACTGTGAGCACAAGAACTTCCCCTTCTAAAAAACAAGGTGCGAGCCCAGAGGGAGCACTTCAATTGAAAAAAACAATGTTCACCAGTGAGGGGGGATACGCAATAACTATTCTTCAAGATGGAGACTTCAACAATAAGTTGAAGACTGTTCGCTCTAATCTCCTCGTGTGCCATTCAACAACACGTAGATCCAAAAACCTCGGTAACCCGCCCTCTTCGTCTTCGATCGTACCCCCTCTTGGGGGTATATCTTCCCTATATGCCGCGTGTAGTTGGTGCAGCCCCTAAAACAAGGGAAAGAGGGGAGGAGTGACGAGACAATGGAGAGGGAGAAGGATGGAGCACGAGAGAAAAATGCAGGAACGTTGGGAGAAGGAGCACAAGCGGCAGAACCTGACTGGCGTGTCGGGCGGGCGGACCCTAACAAGCAGGCCGGGCGGGCGGGCCCAGACGGCCAGGTCGGGCGGGTCGCTAAAGCGTCAATCCATCATGAAGGAAGTGTTAAGCGATAACGCAATCCCCAAGTAAATTGTCAGGAAATCCAGTGCAAGAGCGTGTTTTCTGAGTCTTGGCGGCACGGCCCCGCAACAAATTGGGAGGACTCACCACGCGAGAGCACGATTCCTGCACAACTTGTGAAGGAAGTCCTACGTGAGATCTCGATTTGGAATAAATTGTGAAGACATATCAGGCGGGAGCCGTTGTTGTTGTAAACCGGAGGCCAAAGACACAGCTTGGCGGCCACAGACTTTCCCTGATAACAAACAAGGTGAGAACCCCCAGAAAAGCACTTCAATTGAAAACATACTAAGGTAACCAGGGGTGGGTCAACAATACTTGCCCTCTGCAAACGAGACCCCAGAAACAAGAACAACAACAACAACAACAACAACAACAACAACAACAACAACAACAACAACAAAAACAATCATTGTAGGACTGTTTGCTCTTATCTGCTCGAGTGCCTGTTAACGCGTATTTCCCAAACCCTCGATGCCCGCCCTCTTCGTCTTCGATCGTACCCTTTTTGGGAAGTGTACATTTCTTCCCTGCAGGCCCGGCCCCACCAAACGGCGGGACGGGCCTGGCCAGCGGCAGCGCTGATCGGCGGCAACCCGACCCCTGGAGGGACGGACACGGGACCGACCACGACGACGTCGACGACGACGATGACGACGACGTCGACGACGGCGACGACGACGACGACGACGAGCGAAAGCGAGAGCGAGAGAGAGAACGACAGCAGGGCCACGGCACGAAGTAGGCCACGAAGGGCGACAGCGGGAACACGAAGGGAATGCGTATGGGGCCACGAAGAGCACGAACGAGCGGGGGCCACGAAGGGCAGATAATGCGGGGCCACAGAAGGCAACGACGGGGCCACTAAGGGTAGCACCTGGGCCACGTAGGACAGGGAAGGGGCCACAAAGGGCGACAGCGGGGCCACGAAGGGCATGCACATGGGGCCACGGAGGGCGCGAACGAGCGGGGGCCACGAAGGGCATACGAATATTGGGTCGCGGAGGACAAGGACCAGGCCACTGACGGCAGCAACGGGGCCACGAAGGGCAGCGAGGGGGCCACACAGGGCGACAGCGGGGCCACGAAAGGTGTGCATATGAGGCCACGACGGGCGCGAGCGAGCGGGGGCCACGAAGGGCTTTTGTATACGGGGCCACAAAGGGCGACAGCGGGGCCACTGAGGGCAGCAAAGGGGCCACGAAGGGCAGCGAGGGGGCCGCGAAGGGCGACAGCGGGGCCACTGAGGGCAGCAAAGGGGCCACGAAGGACAGTGAAGGGGCCGCGAAGGGCGACAGCGGGGCTACGAAGGGCATGCGTATGGGGCCACGACGGGCGCGTGCGAGCGGTGGCCACGAAGGGCATATCATGCGGGGCCACAAAGGGCAGCGACGGAGCCACTGAGGGCAGCAAAGGGGCCACGAAGGACAGCGAGCGAAGGCGATCGCGGAACAAGTACGGGCAGCAAAGGGCATCGAAAGCGGGCGAAAGGCAGCGAGCGGCGACTGCAGTCATTACCAGGCTGGTCGGGCGGGCAGGCCCCGACGGGCGGGTCGAGCGGGCGGGTCGTTGAAGCGTGAGTCCTGCTTGAACTGCCAGGCAATTGGTAGCGGGAGCGCGATTCCTGAGCGTCGAGGACCGGCATCTGAATAAATTGTGAAGAAATATCAAACGAAGCGGCTCGGTGGTAAGTTGCGAAGAAGTTCCAAGCGAGAGCGCGATTCTGCAATAAATTGTCAAAAAGTGTCCAGCGAGAGCCGCGATTCGGTGGTAAATTGACAGAACTCCCAAGCGAGAGCGCGAAATATCCGGCGGGAGCCGCTGTTGTTGTAAACCAGGGGCCAACGACACAGTTTGAGCCTCCGGGGTCCCTGATATAAAGCAGGGTGCAAGCCCTGGGACGGGCATTTCAATCGAAAAAATACCATGTGCGCCGGGCGGGGGGGTCAACAATAATTATTCTTCATAAATGAAAGTTCACCAACAGCCACAACAACAACAACAAAAACAACAACAACTACAACAACAACAACAAAAACAACAACAACAACAACAACAACAACAACAACAACAACAACAACAACAACAACAACAACAACAACAACAACAACAACAACAACAATTGTGACGACGACGACAAAACCATCATCCTCGACAAAATCGGCATCTCCATCCTCATCCGCACCATCCTGGCCCGCTTCGTCCTCGTTGTCGTGGTCGCCGTCATCATCCGAATCATCAGCAGCATCAGCATCACCGCATTCATCAGCATCAGCAGCATCATCACCATCATCACCACCATCACCACCATCACCGTCTCATCATCATCAGCAGCAGCATCATCATCAGAATCAACACACTCATTCCGGTCCTTATCCAGTACTTTTGACTCTCATTCCTGATCCTCCTCATCCTCCTCCCGCTCCCCAATCACCTTGGGATATATCCTTCTATACCTGTCGCCCGAAATCCCTGTCACCACGTCCGAATATCCGCGGCCTCGCTCACGCGAACCCCTCCACATCCATTCCAGGCTTGCACCCAAAATTTCAATTGCCCATGGTGGCCTTTGTAATCGGGGTTTGCGAGCGACGCCCACTCGTCTGAGCCCATCTTGATGCCCGTCTTCAGGGCAAACTCTGGATTGGAGTTCCTAACCTGCAGAGTGTATGGACGAGGGAAAGAGGAGGAAGGAGGGGGGGAGGGAGGTGAGGAGGGAGGGGCAGCAGGAAGCACGGCGAAAAACGGAAGGAGGAGGAAACTGGGGGGGAAGAAGGAAGAGGAGAAGGAGAAGCAGAAGGAGGGAACAAGGAGAGGGGAAGAGAGGGGAGAGAGAGGAGAGAGAGAAGAGAGAGAGGAGGGAGGCAAGATGGGCACGCTGGTGTCATACCTGTCATCATGTCCCCTCTCACCCATCCCTTTCCGTTGCCCTGCATTCGCTCACATCCGCCGACCCGGGTTTCCCAAAGGACCCAGATTTCAAAAATGACCCCGTCGCGTGATGCACGATCGGGAAGTGGAGCTTTGGAATCAGAGGAGGAGGACGAGGAGGAGGAGCAGGAGGAGAGAGGAGGATCTGTCTTTTGCCTGGATATTCATAATCCCTGCAAGATGTCCCGATAATATATCAAGGTCTGTGGGCTCCGCCGATGACATAGGGAAGAAGGGATAATGCCGTCAGGCATACACTACGGTAACACTGAAGGGAGGAGGCCGGCCCGCCGGCCGACGCACGCGCGCGCGCGCCGCATGATCGCTCCTTTTCCGTTTCCCTAGAGCCAAAGTGGCATAGCTGCGGAAGCAGAAGCACTCAGTTCATCAGGCAGTGCGCGCGAGGCAAAGGAGCAGAAAGGGCGAAAGGATGGTGGTGCGGAAGGGCTGCTTTGACTCCCCCCGCGGCGGGGTACGTAGAGCCGCCCCGACCCCCAAACCCACCTGACCCGCACATGTGCACAGCCACCGGAGCGAACCCACAAAAACATTATACCGCTCAACGGTGGTTGCCAGGGGGCGGAAGGCCGAAGAATCCCGACGTTCCCCGCCTGAGCTAATGTTTCCCAGCTCAGGCCACAATGCCCGTGCACACCTGGCGCACCCGCTCCATGATGTAGTTTGGACCAGCATCGACTATGTCGCGCTGGTTCCATTGTGCTGCGTCACCTTTGCCAACGATTTCTCCAGTCACGAGAATCGCCCAATGTGTCTCTGTGACTCCAGCTCCACTGATACTGATCCCTGGCGTACTTCTCCTGCCTATTTTCTCTCATGCTTGAACTCCAGCCGCTTGGCTCACGCTTGCCCTGGCCCTTCTCGCGCGGCCTCGCCTTCGACGTAGGCGGCGGTGGAAGCTCTGGAAAGGTACTCGACATCCCAGAGTCACGTTTGAACTTGTCGGTGTATTCGTTCAAACTAAACCACTGCCACGTTTTGCCATGGCCAGTGACTCGCTGATGCCGAGATACATGCACGTAGCATCCTGCCGGAGCACATGGGGGCGCCCTAGAAGACTGCCTTCATTCCCGGCACCTCGGTCTCGATTTTGGGCGAGGATACGCTGAGTTCGCTGCCCCGATGCGGCGGATGTGTATTTTAACTCAACATTGGTCCGTTCTTTGGCAATCGCCCTCGGCTCGGACAGACCCGCTTCTTTCAACCCAACATCGGAATGATCTGCAACAACCACCTCAGTAGTATCCAGAATCTTCGGGTACCGCACCGTTGTGTATATTACCGGTACTTTGGGCTTCCCCAGCGGCTGCGCCGTTCGGGGGCCAAGTATTTCCAGTCTCGCGGCAACCCTTTTTGCTGTCCTGGTCGGGTCGCTTGGAAGGAACTCATGTTTGAAGCAGCCATCGTCATGAGTAGAAATATCGTCATCATCGCTCCTCTCGGCACTATCCCAACAAGTCTTACAGCAATGATCTGGGCAATCTACGTTCCCATAGTTTTCCCTCGTCTGTGCCGTCATCGACTCCTTCGCGCGTTCACTGGCCGGATCCCCCTCGTCCGCGGCGCGCACCTTGGACTGTGTCCAGGCGACCCCAGCGAGGCGCATGCATCCTCTCGTTTTGCATAAAGAGAACCACCTTTCCTCCCTAGTCATCTCTCGCGGTTGCACCGCCGAGAAGCCAAGGATCTGTCGCCCAGGATGGGTTAGTGACCGAGAGGCTATAGGCTGATGCCCGCTGCCCGCGAGGGGGAAGCGGCCGCGGCTACGCGGCGGTTTCGCCGGGGGGGGGCGCGGCCGATGGCGGCCCCGCCCCTGCCCATGAGAGAAAACGGCAGCGGCGCATACATCACGAAGAGGGGAAGAAAGATGAAGGCAGGAGCGCGACGCCGCGCGCGCAAGAACAACATGAATCTGTTTTGCAGATTCATCCGTGCGATCTTCCGCAAGCTTGCAATCCCTACCACGCGCCTCCACGTGCGCATGCGCGCCGTCACACTTCCGCTCCAAACCACTGGTCAGACTGTCAGATGTGGAAGCAATGGCCCACGGCTTCTTCATGAAATTCCCTCTTCTATCTTTCAATCCATACGCGCATCCATGCAACATCGTCTTACGCAATCCTATATCCCATACAAGTGCTTTCACTTGAGGGCCCCATCCAATACTGACACTGGCTGGGCCACTCAATGCAAACTATATCCCCCGCTTCAACGACAGCGCAGGCGATCTCTCTAAAATTCCGAAACAGACATCGAAAAGCGTTTCGGGTTCCTCGGAGCCTTCGAAAGGACCCATGGTCACCTTTTTATGGAAATAGTGGGTTTCATTAACATAGTTCCAGGGATAACCTCCAGTGCATGGGACCGAACTCCAAAGCAAAAATATGTTTCCCCTTTAATTAACTCTGAGATATCCCTGAGCACTTTGTTTTTAGCTTCGTCAGTGCTCATATCCTCACTTTCGGTGTATTGCATTACCCTACACGAGTTATCAACGAAGTTTAGTGGATTCCATATTTTGCTGTTTGGTCCACAGCAATATTCAAGTATTTAATATTTATCCGTTCCAATCGTTTATGTCAATTGCTGGCACTTTTTCAGGCTGAACTATCAAAGGCATCGATTCGTCGACATTCGATGTGGCCGCAGCCGCATCAGTAATTTCGTCACGGCACTCTTCCTGTTCCCAGATATCAGGAGATTGTGTCTGCACATATGAAGCATCTGACCCACTGTCAGTTATATCGGACATAGCCATAATTTCTCTGTGTTCTTTCAATCTTCGCTGATGGTAGCTTCTCCTGGAACGATTGTCGTCACTCTCGGAGGGTCCCGGGCTGTTAGCACTTCTAGCCTTGCCGGCTGCAGCGTTAGCTTTCTTTGATGGCTACTGCTGAGTTTGGTGCCAGAAAAGGATGCACATGTGCATGCACCTCACCAAATTCGGCTTTGCCGTCTGGTGAGGTGGTTGTTACTTTGGCCCCTTTCGTGCCTCTCTTCTTTTTATGCATCTGTTTGCCCTGCACCGCACTCCCTCGACGTACCGCAGCCTTCAGACCTATACGTGGCCTGAACATCCTCTTGGGTTCCAAAGGAAGTCCGCCAGTGAACACTGATGCAAAATAGTCTTGAGATCGGCTAATTTTCCAAAACTTAGGGGTAACAATGTTAACTCGGTAAAGCACCTTAACCAATGCAAGAGGAATGGTAAAACGTTTTGCACCGAGATCGGCGGCCTCGTTCTGGGTACTTCCGCACTGCAAACTAACCACTCCACGGGTAAACTGTTCAGAAAAAGCAGCAGCATCTACACAGTGGATTCTCGGAAGGTGCCTACATTTCATCAAATCCCCGCTGCTATCCCCCTGCAAACCGCTTGGTTATCTTCCATAAATGTGCATTTGACCTTTCGTTGTAGCAGAATTTCCCGCAGCGGCAGAGCTGGCAGGAACTCAGTCGGCAAGGCCAGATCTGCAGTAACAATTTCTGCCTCAAGTTCGCCATGGGACACGCAAGTTTGCCGACGAGAAGCCATACTCTGATTGGCTCTCGCGCGCGGTGCCCAAATGTCCCGGCGGCCGGCACTCGCGCCGCGATGCGTTCGTAAATCGCTAGCAAGGTCTGCATCAGAGTACTGTCGGATTGTGACATCCTCCATCTTGTGCCTACCCATGACGTCATTTTGCATGGGGCTGTGGACATGATGTAACATATTAATCGAAGAAAAAATCCACGTCCTGTGGTTCAGTCCATTTCGCTATTCAGCTGGCCGCGCGGCAAAAGACACGCAATATATCAAACCGAGCCATCCTAGCACCATACAAGATCTTCATGAGAACTTCGGCAGCAATAAGCTGAAGAACTCCCGACGGGGTCGGCGGTTCAGGGACGTCTGGTCCGCGTTCCGCGGCTAAGCCGGGAACCTCGACTGGCTCATCTGGGAAACCTGTGTCCACTCGAAGCCCGAGTGCCGCTGCTATGGCCTCCTCTGCTGGAAAGTGTCTCTCTCATATTGGGCCCCCTTGTCCATCCTCAAAGTCAGTCAACTCGGGGCCAAATGGGGTGCCAGCAGCAGGGTACGCAGCAGGGTCGACATCGGTTAGCTGCGCATAGAGTGTCACACAGGATTCAAAAGAACTCGGTCATATCGTACTCAATGGCTCTGACCATTTTCGGCTGTCTGGGTTGATATGGCTCACTCGGCTGCGCCGCTGAGTCACCCCCCGCTTTCTCGCCATCGCTCTCCACCTGTTGTCCTGAGGCGCGCGTTGTCTTTACCCTCGGTGGTGGGGGATCAAGGACAGTTGCCAACTCCCCCTGCCATTCAACACATTGCGTAGACAAATGATGTTCACATCCCAAATAACGTCCCACGTTAGTTGATGAGTCGATCTCGATGCCCTTGGGGCAGCCTTCGGAGGCTTCTTGTAAGTGTCGCCACCCTTTTTCGAGGATCGCTTTTTGGTTCCGAAAGTTTGATACCGTCAACAAAAAAAAAGAAGAAACGAACGCAGTTTTGCGTGGAGGTGACAGCTACGCCAAGGAGTACATGTAATGGAGCCTCTGGAAATCACGTGTCCCTCACAATGCTGTTCCCAGTATGCACCGGAATCAAGATGTCCATAAATTGTAAGAGTGAGGGGACACACGGGGTTTCGCATCTCTTTCCAAGCGGGCTGCCACTCGTCTCTCGGCAGGAAAACCCAAGT